GATTGTTGTTAGCAAGACAATATCCGAACTGCAGATAGGCATTTGGTTCAGGACATCTTAAACTCCCGTCGAAGTACTCAAATGACCGTAAGCTTTGAGACCCACAGATTCCATGCCAAGGTCACTGAGCCAAAGAATATCAGGCCAGGAAAAACATCAATTGTGAGCTGTCGCTTGAAGAGGAATAGGTAGAGCGTCAAGTGTGAGGATGGTCCCGTTGGCCGCATTCTTCCATTCCTGCCGATAATCGCTCCGATGCTACCATGTGGCTGGTGCAGACTAAAAACAGCAGCTACGTCTGACACCTGAGGCGCTAAATCCGTGACGGCCAGGCTCATCGACGCCCATGGGAACGACCGTCGACAGAATCGTCCTGCCGCACGGGCCAAGCCACTTTATTTTGGCCCGTCCGTCTCTCCAAGGCTCCACCTCCAAAGAGCTTCATACCTCGTAAATTTTACTATCCCAATCTTTTACTTCCCACATATCGATCGCCAGGTGCTTGCGCATTACCCAACCGCACGCCGAACGCGAAAACCGAAAACGAGCGACTATAGTTTCAACATCACTGCAACCCAGACGTCGCAATGGACGACACCGAGCGACGCTCCGCCAAGCGCTCGCGATTCGACCAAACCGAACCCGAGCCTCGCAAGGCTTCGAGATTCGACCGCCGCTCTAGATCGCCGCCTGGAAGACGTTCAGAGTCGGCAAGAGAGCGTAGCCCTCTGCCCAATGACCAGGCGACAGAACCGAAGAAGTCGCCGGTAGATGCCGCTGCTGCGGCTGGTACGGGTTGCGCCTCGCTTTGGCAGTAGAATGAATGGCTAATAGACTCATAGCTGCCGCGGCCGCGCGAATCAACGCGCAACTCCAAGCGAAGAAGGGCATTCAGCATGTCGACGTTCCCCCGATCAAGACCGACACTTCTCCTACAGGTGGTGCCCAATCGCCCGATCCAGCCAACACGATCAATGGAGAGATGTACATCGCCGACGGCGACTTCATCAAAGACATTGAAGTCAACGACCTTCGTAATAGATACCTCTTGACCAAGGGGTCGACTCAAAAGATGGTAAATACTCCTGTGCAAAACCACTGATCATACTTCCTTCCCAGGCCTCATCTCGAGCGCATTCCGCTTTCCTACATATAAACAGATTTGTGTCGAGATCATCCTGCTTACTTGGCACGATAGCTCGCACAGATCACCCCTCTTTGGCACCTGCTGACTCCATTTGCTTGATTTAGATCAAAGAAGAAACTGGTGCTGGTACGATACACCTCCCACTTTTACGTCTAATTAGGAACAAAGGTTGACTTTGCAAGATGTTACTACCCGAGGAAACTACTATCCCGACAAGAGCATGGCGACTGCGGCGGTATGTCAACTTCGAAAACCATGGTATAGTAACACGCACTGACTCTCTCCTCAGAATCCGCCTTTGTACTTGCATGTCACAAGTACATCCAAGACTGGACTTGAGCAGGCCGTGGCAAAGATTGAGGAACTTATGAAACAGGAACTTCCCGCGCTGGTAGATGAGCGTCGTTTCCGTCGACGTGACCAGGAGCAGGTTGAGAGGGACGAATATGGCCGAGTATGTATGCAAATCAGTCTCGAAAATTTGTGTCTAACATATTACAGCGCAAATGGCCCGAGGAGAAGATCCCTATCGGTTTGGAGTCCGTCCCCGGATTCAACCTCCGCGCTCAAGTTGTTGGCCACGGCGGTGCCTACGTCAAGCACATCCAGCAGGAGACTCAGTGTCGCGTCCAGATCAAAGGACGTGGTTCCGGGTATCTGGAGGCAGCCACCAATCACGAGAGTGACGAGGACATGTATCTTCACGTCGCGTAAGTGCATTGTCGCCTTGCCGACATTAACGCATAGGTACTGACTCTGAATAGCGGACCTGACCCTAAGATGGTTGAGAAGGCCAAGGAGCTTTGCGAGGATCTGATTGCAAATGTCAAAGAGCAGTACGAAGAGTTCAAGAGCAGACCTCCTCGTAGTTATGGTGACCGTGGGGGCTATGGCGACCGCTCGCGGGGGCACGATGGCGGCCATGGCGGATATGGAGGCCACGGTCACGGTGGTGATCGCGGCGACCGCGGCGGCTATAACTCCGGATACGGAGGCCACGGCGGCCATGGTGGTCACGGTGGTCACGGCGGCGGCGGCGGCGGCTATGGCGGCCACAACGCTGGGCAATCAGCAAGCCCTGCTCCTGCCGGCGGTTCTAACAGCCCTGCCGCTGGAGCCGACTACGCCGCTCAGTACGCACAGTACTACGGCAGTCAGGATCCTTACGCTGCCTATGGCGGATATGCCGCTTACGTTCAAATGTACCAGCAGTACTATGCTGCCGCACAAGCACAGCAGCAAGGCTCACCCGCGCCCCCGGGAGCAGCGGCATCCCCTCCACCCCCGCCTCCCAGCGAGGCTGCTCCTCCTCCACCTCCTCCGAGCTCTGCTCCCCCTCCCCCTCCCTCAGGCGCGCCTCCAGGCACTGGAGGAGGCTACGGTGCTGTAAGTACCATTACTTCAACGTTGACTGAGAAACTTTGCTAACACAGAGAATAGGTACCGCCCCCTCCTGGCCTTTAGAGAGAGACTTCAGGAAAGAAGAACGGGTCTAAGGTATTGATGATGGTCAAAATTGCAAAGCCACGAAGTGGTGGGGAGAATCATCAGAGGCGCATCACTGTAGTATGTGAGCGGCTTTGTGCAGGGGATGGTCATTTGGACGTTAAAGGAGGTACAGATGAAGTTGTATATGACTCAACAGACATAGTAATATTACCACAAAGCAACACATGACGTCTGTGTACATTTAATCCTGTCAGGGCTTCGTGATATCAGTCCTGCCGAACTATTCCTTTACTCGTCAGCGCATTAGCTGATGGTATCACTGACTTGCCACGGTATAGCGGAGATACATATGTAATATTCTGCTTCTACTTTTCCTGCTATGATAAGCTTTGTATCGTTTCTCTTGGGAGGAGCAATGAGGAGGTAATCTTGCTTTCGAGACTCAATCTAGCAAAAGGCGATGCAGGACAGTGTCATATTTAACTTCGACAAAAAACATCTCAGACTGCTTAGAAAACAAACCAGAAAAGAAAAGGGAAAGGAAGGAAGGGCTGGTGATGACTTACTCGGTACTTCACGCCACTATCCGGAATCGAACAGCGCGCCCCTCCGACCACCACTGGTTTCATTGGGGTATTTCATTTAATCTCGACTCTGCGTCAGAGTCGAACCCACTCGGCCAGTTGACCGCGGGGTGGTGGTGACAGGAACGACGTTGGGAAGGGATGTATACCCTCAGTCTCCGCGAAGTTGGTAAGGTACTTAGGTTGAGGAAGGAGGGATGTAGCGGGAGGAAGGAGCGATGCAGGCGCACACCACTTTACACATGAACTACGGCATGCAGCGAAAGTGGTCCTACGAACACAAGCTAAAAGACGTTTCAAGTGACCAGCTTCGCTAACGACATGATGGTAGAATTGACGTCTCCCATTACGTCCAGAACTGGGGTGTGGTTAGGCCACACGGGCTGGTAAAAGGAACGACTGTAACTGAAGGCACCCGATGAGGTAATCTCTCTGAGCTGAAATAAATCATTTCAGGATTCTCTTCGAACCAAAGACTACCATCCTGTTAGAAGGCAGTCTCTCCGACTATAGTTGTTGGCATGAAGTGGACAACACTTCAAGTCAATTTTGAATCTCTCAAAGGGAAAAGGTGGGAAGGACTTGTTGTCAGGCTTGTTCTCTCCTGAGCACTGCACCAAAAGCTATCCTCCCCATACGTTTCGGTCTGATTGACCGCTCTAGGCTACCTTCTTGTCCAGCCACATGTGTCCCAGTATGTGGTCTGAGTAGCACGGAACATTGCGGGAACCCTCGACCATTCGAGAGCATCTGGCCTAGTTGGCGTATCCCGCATGCCTCTGGCATTCTTGCAAGGTGTAGTACCCGCATGCCCAGGATTTGCTGGGCGGAGGTCTAATATCATATCTCTTGCGCTGGCAGAGGCCATTACAACCTGCCATCGTCATACTCTCAAGGAATTAAATGTGAGCGTGGATCTCGGTGGAAGCCGACGGAGATCTCAAATATGGTTGATGGTCTAAGTTAGCCGCTCAAAACCATCACGATAGTCTTCCGTACGAAGATGGTATACTGATGCTTCCAAACGGCTTCTCCTCTGAAAGCTAATGTACACATCAGAACTTTCCCAGATTTTCCACCTTATCTTCATTGCAGACCATTCCATTAGTCTTAATATCCATGACATCCGTAGGCCAGCATGGTTATTGAATGGCTATGTGTACTAAACATACCAAAATATGGGCGGGTTAGTGTAGTGCTGGGTGATGTATGGTTTCGTTTATCAGAGACCAAGAGTTGAATGATGCTGCCAGACGCCCCTTACAAATGACAGAGAGGAAACTCGCGAAACTACTCGACATCTGCAACCGAATTGTGAACCTGCAGACCGGAATGATATCATCGTGCCGTTAGCGAAGCTGGCCACCTGAAAGATCTTCTGGCCCATGTTTTGAGAACTGCTTTCGCTACGAGATACCTTGTTCCTTCACTCGGGACTCGAACAAAATTTAGGAGGACAATTCATCCACAGTGCGCGGGTCCGTCCGCCCTCCGTGGACCTCGAAATCGGAACCCCGGGTGGGGCCATGGCATGCGGGGGGAGAGCTCCGCCCGCCGGCCTGGGTCTTTCCACACACCCACTCTCTTATCGATAAAAAGACATCCCGGGACCCACCAGAGCTACTAAGGTAAGGTAAGACCCCCAATCGTCATTTCGTCCCACCAGCCCATCTCTCCAACGTCTCTCACCTCTCCGTATCTCCAATTATTATATCTCGTCCCGCGGCGCATCCCCCGCTACCCGAGCCCGACGACACACCGAATCCCTCCAAGCAACTCACCCTCTCTCCATCGGCCAGCGAGACGCGAACACCGCAGTCATGAGCCATCAAAGATACCCGTCACACGACCCCCTAAAGGAGCCTCACTCCGTCTCCTTGAAAGTCCTCAGGTAGAGATCCCGACTTACACGCAGCTGGAGTGCCGCCTTGTTCTCTCACTTAGTCCGCCAATACCTAAAGAAAAAGAACATGCTTCTCTAACACGAAAACAAACCAACAGACTATCCCGCCCCTCCCTCGTAATCCAACACCCGATCCGGCCCCCGCTGACGCCCTCAACCCTCCCCGCCGACCCGACCCCGGCCTCCCTCGCCTACGACACAACCGCCTCAACGAACCCCTCCCCCTTCCTCCTCTCCCCGATCCTCAACCTCCCGCTGAGCTTCGGCTCCGCCTACGTAGGCGAAACATTCAGCTGCACCCTCTGCGCAAACCACGATGTCCCCGAGCCCGTAGCAGCAGTCCCCGGGGGAGGAGGACCCCTCGGCGCCACCGGTGCACCAGCAGCAGCATCGGCGGCCCCGGCAAAGCGCAAGAGCATCCGTGACGTCCGCATCGAAGCGGAAATGAAGACCCCCGGCGCGAACTCGATCCAGAAGCTCGACCTCTCCCCGCCAGACTCTGCGGATACCGGCGGCGGCGGCGGCGACGATGACCTCAAGGGAACGGACCTCGAGGCCGGCGACACCCTCCAGCGCATCGTGAACTTTGATCTCAAAGAGGAAGGCAACCACGTCCTCGCCGTGACGGTGAGCTACTACGAAGCCACCGAGACCTCGGGCAAGACGCGCACCTTTCGGAAGCTGTACCAGTTCATCTGCAAGTCCTCGCTCATCGTCCGCACGAAAATCGGCCCGCTCGCTCCCGCTTCTTCCGGCAAGAAACAGGCCGGTGGTGGTGGGCAGCGGCGGTGGGTTATGGAGGCCCAGCTGGAGAACTGCTCCGAGGACGTGATCCAGCTCGAAAAGGTGGTGCTGGACCTGGCCGACGGGTTAGGCTACACGGACTGCAACTGGGAGGCGGGCGGGGGCGCGCGGCCGGTGCTGCACCCGGGCGAGGTCGAGCAAGTGTGCTTCGTGGTGGAGGAGGCCGAGGGGACGAGGGCGCAGCCGGGCGAGGACGGGAGGATCATGTTTGGGGTTCTCGGGATCGGGTGGAGGGGCGAGATGGGGAATAGGGGGTTTCTTTCCACGGGTAAGCTGGGCACGCGGCACGTGGCGTGAGCGAGGGAGGTCTACTCGAGTCTCACGCACAAAAAAGTCCAGACCAGCAAAACAGCAGTTGAGGCGTTCGTTGGGGTGGGAGGGGAAGGGGGGATATTGCATTGGTGAGGACAGCCCCGGCGACGGTGACAGCTGAGGAAACGCGACGCAGAGCGCTCAAGGCGTCCCCGGATTCAGCCCAGTGTCAGACCACGCACATCTCCACCATCCGGGGATTGGTATACACGCACTACGCCTTGGGGAGAGCCGTGCTGATGGCTTGAGATCCCATCAAAAAAATCCAAAGGGAATTAGATCACGGGAGCTGGATCAGGTCTCCCCCGCACGGTCGGGGCGTTGAGCCGCGTTTCCGGGGCAAACGCCGCATCGCGATGGAGGAGGATGAGGAGGGTCATCATCCTTCGCTTCTTGGATGTTGTTGGACCTCTCACGCCTCTCTAGATTGAAGGAATGGCGGAAGGCGTGTCGGTGCTCAGGAGAAACGCATCTTGGCATCCCCAGCTGCTGAGATGAACCTCGTTGAAGATACCTACCCTACTTTAGAGTGAGAATCCCATAGGCCGTGGCGTTCCCGACGCTCGGGTGCGCCACTAAACCCGCACCAACATGTCACATTATCTTAAAGAAATGTGTAATTCCTGAAAAGTCCCCTTCGAACAGGCAGTCCTTTCCCCTCCACTCCCCACCAGGTGGCTGACCTTTTGACATCTTCAGATCTCAGCGGGTTCAAATCTAAGATCTCAAAACTCTAAAGAACGTCCTGAGACTATTGCACGAACGGTTCTTAGCGCCGCCCTTCTCTCTCCCCAAGATTCGTTTGCTTACCCTCTTACCTACCCTTCAGTCCTTCTTTTCCTCCAACAGGGCTGGCAATGGCTAAATAAAAGGGGTCACGGAGGCAAACCGTGGTCACAGCGCCCATTCCTTCCTGCTCGTTTTCATTACGACTTACGAGCCTCTCTTTTCTTCCATATTACATATGACCTACTGTTGTGGTACACCGAGTGACATAGCTAGCCAAGGGCCGCAGGTGGACACGAGCAGCAGAAGCATGAGCAGCAGTAAAAGTGCCATGCGGCTTTGGTTGCTCTGCGTATTTCCTGTCGTGTCTCCCGTCCGAAACAGGAACCTGGTTCTGTAGTTCTGCAGTCCTGCAGTCGCATTGCATGGGATCGACAAGTGGCTTCACCACATTTGAGCGGTTCCCCTTGCCACGGCCAGGCCGCTGTTGAGGATTGATTACGGTTGGTATTTGCCGGAATGAGACGACCATCTCGTTTGGGTAGCTTGCAGCGAAAAAAGCGAATTAAAGTAGACACGTTGGGCTTTCAGCTTCTCCAAATGTCCAACCCAACACGGGGGTTCTGCAAGGAGTGCGTCGTCATGTAATAAGCAGCGGCTTCGGGGACGTAATTTGAATCTAGTGTGGTAACTGTGTTGAGTCTCTTTATTTCTCAGCCTCTCAGGTGTGGATTAACCACTGGAACTGCACGCCGCAGATTGGAGGATATTTCCGGGTGGCATGGGTGGGTAGATGAAGAAATCCAGAATAGATGCGCCCGCCTTCCGCTGACTGGCATAAGGAGCAGACTGACTCTACGTCAGCTGGAAGAGTCATGACTTGTGAGTCGTTCAATCTGGCAAGTTGAATTCTGAGTAGAGCCATCTTTTCATACATTCGAAAAAAAAAAACTCTGGGCGATCCAAATCCGGCGAGATGATGAGTCGCTATCGCGGGCCAGGGGCCAGGGAAGGCAGACAAGACCGACAGATTCCAGCTAGTAGATTTTTGTACACCGTAACGTGCCTAGCGCGTGGGTTGAGTCGGTATGTAGGCGAAACCTGAAACAAAGAGTTCTTCAGTTCTTTGGCTGGCTGCAGGAAAAGGAGTCTATAGTGGCCGTCCTTCCCGCCGAGCCGTCTGCAATCCTAGTACCGGTAGACCGCTGATGTGTCCATACCAGACCAACCAAACAGTCTCCGAAATGTCACGATGCGGGCGGGTCCCTAGGAAGCAACAATTCGCAGCGTAACCTAGGTTCAAGGATTGGGCGTATAGGCAATCGACTCACTCTGAGAGAATATCTCAAGAGATGACATGGGTTTCCTGGGCATGACAAGTGCGTAGTGCACCGTAAAGTGCCATGGCGGGCATCTGCCGGCGCTGGTATTTGCTTTTTGGCGCCGATGAGAAGTGGTCCGCAAAGGGCTCTCGGGAAGGGGGGGGGGGGTAGTATGGCGGCCAGTGAGCACCGAGCACCGGCACCACCACCCACAGACACTTGAAGCTGTGCGCCGATCCTTGTCCGTCATGTTCGACATCTCGGGCCCACGATCGGCCATGGGCCGTGACATCAAGCCTATATGAGAGAGGAATGGTCTTTTGCTCTGTGCGCGTTAGAATTTGCTGTTCTGGGAGAACTTCTGAGCAGTGTCCTGGTCCCGCACTCTTCCAAGAAACAGGTATGGTTTACAAGTGTAACCGGAGACTGCAAGGAATGCTTATCAAAACTGCTTGGTGCTCGATGGGCGTCGCGGAGAAGCGGGAAGAGGCCCATTGAGGGCGACAAGCCTCGAGCGAATTGCTGCCGATAGGCTCTCGAAACGTGCGATTGTACACCAAGGTAGACGCTCCATTACAGCATGCAAGACAACTCGGCAAGCTCGTCCACAAGCAGGTACGTTTACAAGGTGACATTTGATAGATGCCGACTCGAGGCAAAGTGCATGAGGCGGGCGAGGAATACTCCGGAGTCTGTAGCGAGCATTGAGATGCAGACCGCCTTGAATGCTTGCAAGTTACTGCTTCTTTGCTTGCTCGCCCTGTCCACGCTGAGCCATTCGTATTCGTCAGAACGCCAGACGTGTGGAAATGCGCTTGTATGCTGCAGTCTGCAGAAGCTCCATGGGCCGTCTTGCGTAGGAGCTGTGAGAGGGTAATTGGAGTTTACCCACATCCCAAGAGGGTGTGATGCAGGAGCCTGATAACCCCTGGGCCCTGGGCGGCGTGCATGGTTGGCTGGTTGGCCTGGGGTTGAGTTTACCAGGTTGGCAAAGACTTTGTAGTCGCCTTCGCCGTGATGCCGGATGAACAGGTCATAGTCAAGTGTTTGCGTGGTTGGTTTCGTTTGACCGCCATGGTAGAGAGACTCGTGCGAACTATGAGTTGAATCGTGATCAGGTAGGGCAGACGACAGGCCTCGATGACAGGGAAGTCGGACGATGGGTAGAGTCGTGTGTTAGGCAGGCGGCCAAGAAAAGACAATGGCGAGGGTGTCGATACTGTCAACATCCATGAGGGTGGGATACGATGGGTTGGTGGAGAGGATCCACAGGCGAGAGAACTAGCCAAGGATTATCCTCATGGTGGTTTTGTTCCGAGAGAATTTTGGATCTGGTAGATTCTTTCATGTCGGGCGATACGTGGATGGAGATGCGAACGGGGTTGGACATGAGCCAAGCGCCGGTTCGCGGCATCTCGGGACAGGAGTTTGGGGGTTTGGCCGTGAGCTAACGAATGGCTGGACGTCATCTCGATCGTATGAATGGAGAAGAGGCTTGTTGGTTGACCTCAGCTTGGGATTGCATATTTTGCGGGCTTGAAACTTATTTCGTCTTCTTTTCGATATTGTGTGCTGTAGATGCGGCGTGTACGGATACTCGCATTGTGTCCTGTGTCTCGAGAGAATGCGAGAAGAGGAGTAATGTCATGCCAAAATGCCGGCGCATGGCTGATGGCGCAAGGCACTCAAGCAGTGGTCGACGCATTCAGCGAAAGGCGCAGGCCGGGGTGGGTTGACCCTCGTGGGTGAGATGCTTCTTACACGTGCGTCTTGAAGAAAAAAGGCGTGGGATACCGGTGTATCTATCTGCGCTCTGCAAGACGGGCTCTCTCTAGTTGGGCAGCCCCCGAGGTTGCTTTGCAGGTGCTTGGTGCTTGGTGCATTGAACAGGACCTTTATCCTGGAAAGCGTCGTGGGCTAGCGCTGGGCCGCTCACATTTCAGATTTCTCCCCTCATTGGAGCAGGTCCCAAGACTTTCTGGAGACAATGGATATCATGGGGGGCTCTCGAGTTGCTAAGTGGCCGGAATCTACTTACCAGAAGCCCCGGGAGAGAGAAGAAAGGATTGCGGGAGGGATAGTCAGTGTGTTGCACAGAGCTGAGGGTCGGCAGAGGAGGCAGAGCTGAGAACGATCTGCCAAGGTACTAAGTGCGTGGAGGTACACGATGCTAGGCCTCTGGCGGCAGCAGCAAAAAAGCAAGTGAGGGGAAGAGCGATTTACCTTGGAATATTCCGTGATGGCACTGGAGCTGAAGAGGAGATCGCCGAGTAAAGAGGAGTTGAGAGTGGATGCTGGCGGAGGAGGAGCATGTTGCGGAGCTTGCAGTGCTGCTCCAGCACGGAGTGTTGGTACAGATACTGAGGATGCTAAGGTAGGTAGGTATGGATATGTATTGCATAGCAAAAGGTGGATTGCGGATTGTCACGATGGTGGAGCTGAATTCATCAAAAGGAATGGAAGTTCAAGGAAGTTCATGGGAGGGCATGAAAAAGGGTCAAAAAAGGGTCTGATGGGCAGAATCAGAGTGGCAGCAGCTGTGGGCGAGAGTGGGTGAATGTGGACATCATACGCAGTACTCCGTACATGGGACATCATCCACAATTCGCAAAAGGAAGTCGTCTGTCTCCCTCGCCGCCCCAGCGCTTGCTCCGATGGTAACCTCCAGGTTAGGTACGGATACTGTGATGACTGAGGTGGTGAGAACAGTTGATCGACAAGCAGATGGCCGCGAGGGTATTAGTGATCCAGGGGAACGAAGCCCAGGGCCCTGACTGTCATGGCCTGTTCCGAGGTTTAGCGGATGCCTGCTTAGGTAGCGAATTGGGGTCTACGTTGCTAGGCTTGTGCCTGGAACGCTAGTTCAGGGACCGCAAGGGTGGCTTTGCACACTCTTTCCACGCTTCACCATCTCTGGTCTACCTTATCTCGCAAGTC